GCCACAGGCTTGGCCTGGATCCCAAAGGTTGTTGGTGTCTTTTGCCTCTGGCAGGGTCCGTGCAGCCACTCAGCAGTCAGACCCTCAGAGCCAGCTCCAGCGCCGGCACCGACCCCCAGCTCCTGCTCTACCGTGTGGTGCGGGGCCCCCAGCTGCGCCGGCTGTTCTGTGACTCCCCAGCCCCAAAGGCAGCCCCCTTCATCTGTGACTTAGTCTGTTGTAGTGGTGAGCTGACACATCCAGTGTGACCGAGCATCTCTGTGGCACGCCTCTGCCCTGTTCTAGAAATAGCTATAAATAAATAAATATATATATATATATATATACACACCTACACGTGGCCGACCGCCTCGCCTCTGGCACTGGGAATCAGTTACCATGCTGTCCTTGTGGAGTCTTGCGGCCAAACAAGAGAAAGCTGTCCCCTGACATTGCTCCTCCAAAGTGCGCCACCTCCAGTGAGCCTCCCTGTCACCCAGGCCCCGCCATCCCTCCCGCCCCCGCCAAGCATGGCGGTGCTGTGCAGGCAGCCCTGTGGCCTGACAGTCTCTATCAGTCCTGCTGCCCTTCGGTTGAGAGTCAAGCCCATTTCCGGATGACAGGGAATGTGTCCTCTGTGGACTGTGTTCTCTGTGGAGCTCAGGGGAGAGGAAAGGTCAAGCCATTTCTGGGGTGCTGTTGGGAACAGTGAAAACGCCCCACCCTTTCCAAGGGACACTGTTCCTGGAAAGCCCCTGGAGCTTAGCTGATCTTATCCTGTGAAGCCGGCTCTGGCCACTAGGGGGCAGGAGGGCCATGAACTCAGCCTGGAGGGAGCCTGCGGGCACCCAGCACTCTGGAGGGACAGACAGAACAGGCCACCAGGTGCAGACAGGAGAGGGAGGTAGGGGGATGGAAGAAAGACGCCTGGGGTGGATGGAAGTCAGCGCCCTTGGGTGCTGGAACCTGCCTTCCCAGCCACCGCTAGATCAGGCTTCTGAGCCTGCTGGCTGTCAGGGCCGGACGTGCCATGGCAGTCCCCGGGAAATCCCCAGGTGTCACCAGGCAGCACACAGGTAACAGGCCTGGAAGGTCCCCAACAGCCCAGCTGGACATGCTCAGACACTCTGGGGCTCCTTGTTCAGTGGCCCAAACTCCAGGACCCAGTGAGGGAAACGGGAATACACCAGGCTGAGCAGTGTGACTAAATCCATTTATTCCAAAATAAAAAGCAAAATAAACAGGAGTTGCATCACCAGGGAGCCACGACCCCATCCCCGCCTCCTTCCTCTGTCCTCTGCTAGCAATAAACAAGTTGCCCAGCCGCAAATAATTATTAAAACCTCCTCCCCATATGCCAGTTCCAACCTCTGCCAGGTACGATACAGAGGGTGCCCCAAACCCCTAAAATATACAACATGTTACACAGATACAATATGTACACTGGGGAAGGGGGGCCATCCCAGCAGCCTGTGCCCTCGCCTGGTCCACAGTTAGCGCCACTGTCCTGCCTCAGCTGCCTCTCTGAATAAGAAGATGGGAGCTCCCTGAGGGAAAAGTTGCTTTGGTGAGGGGAAAGAGGCCATCAGTTTCCTCCAAACCAACCAACTCCAGCAGCCTCTGGCTCTTAAATAACAACCATCATCATCCAGAGATTTGAGGGCTCAGCCCTGGTCAAGGTAGCAAAGGGTCTGTTGGTCTCCCCCCATTAGATAGCGGTCTTGTCTTGCTACCCTAATAATAAAGGGGTGACTGGGAAGGGGTGGGAGGGACATGGTGGGGGCGGAGACTCCAGCCCCCCTTCTCCAGGCCCTGCTGACACGGGCCTGCTTTTATTTATTTTTATATTTATCTCCATGATGTTTTTTAAAAATCTCATAACTTCCTTTTCATAAATTTTATACTTTTCATAAAATTTTTCTACTTTTTATCCACAACCTTTTCTTTTACCACAACCTTTACACATTTTTTATCCCATAATTTTTAATACCATAACTTTTAATCCCATAACTTTTACAAGTTTGTGTTCTTTTGATAAACACACTTGCATAGTTATATTACAATTTCATAAAAATAAAAACACATTATCTCATGCCAAGTGTGCCCAGCATTTGCAGAGTCTCAATGCCTTTAATACTATTTTTGTCAAGACACACAAAATTTTAAGGCAGAAACAGCACTTTGCAGCAATTCAATAATTTATTACATTACAGGAGCATCACAGCAGCAGTCAATAATGCTGCTTTAGACAAAAGGCTCAGGATTTCCAGCTTACGTTCTGTTTGCAAGAGTTCATACATTGGTAAAAGTCATTCTTAGAAAACTTGGCAACTAAAGCTTTGGACTGGAATTCACATTTTTTTCTCTACCTTTTTTTCCCCTGGTTTCCTTTAAACTATGATATTCATAGTTTAAAATGTTTTTGTTAATTTCAAAACATTAAGATAGCAGTTACATGTTTTAATAGTTATTTTAAAATGACTCTTAAGATAAAGTTTTGGAGAAGCTATATTATGGATATGATAGGACTGATTTACATTTTCAAATTTTCTTAAAATCAGCTTTGGTTTCAGAACTGATTTTTATTCATTTCTGGAAAACTTATCAGGTTTAATAAAATCCTTTAAAAATGATTATCATATATTTTGATTCTTCCTACAGAAATTCAAATTTATTCAGTTGAATCCACATTTGAAAATTCTATGTATTTTTGTAATGACCTCTGAACAGAGAGACACAGCCATTGAGCAGGCCTCTGGTACAGCAAACACGGTACATTCAGGAGCTGTGAATATAGCTCTAGGTGAGCCCCTGAATCAGTTCATGGTAGATTATGCTAAATAGTGAGCTGTTATTGGAGGTGTGGATGAGGACGTTTGTTGTTATAATCCTTGTTTGCACCTTATTTTAAAGAATAAATGAAACATTTTTCTCATTGCCTTTTTAAAAATTTAAAATGGAGGGGAAGAATAGGGGCAGGGCATTATTTTGTTACTTCTGATGCTTCAGTGTTATAAATTCAACATATAGACTGACAACCTAAATCAATGGTGGAACAGATTTCTTTTCCTTTTTTTTTTTTTTTTTTTTGTATCTGTTCAATGAAAATAAGAAGGTACAACCCAAGTTTTGTACTCTGACTAGAGGGATTCTTCTTCAAGATCTGAAAGTAGGACTTTTACCTTAAAAAGAACAACAACAAACAAAAACTGTCACACAGGATGGATAAGAAGATTGCTTAAACAGTTTTGTGTGGATCTTGTTGGTGCTGAACTATGGCATGAGCCTTATAGATTGTAAAATAGACATAGTTGGAGCTAATGTACAGAATTAAATTTTTTAAACTTTATTTGTTAAATTCTGTGAAGTTTCAGTTATCTAAAATAAACATACACAAATATGATAAAAATAAAATTCTATTTTTTTGATGGGCGCTAACCTTCTGATGTTGCCTTCTAAGCCAATTGAAAGCTGCCTTCTACTGAATGAGGAGGAGAACAAATACTTGGCTGAATGAAGTACTGCAAAAGACTCGCATGCACTTTGAAGAAAGACTTAAGTCACTGTCATATGATATCCATTCTTTTTACATTTTTCTTAAATAGATGACAAAATACCTACACAGAGTGATATTTCAGTTAATATAGTAAATGTATTTTCCAGACTGACATTCAGCTAAATATGCCTGTATGTGATTTACTCCACAGGAACCTGAGGAACGCATTATTGTCAGATTGGGTACAGACGCTAAACACTATGTCAAGGTCATTCCTAGTCATTTATATTTCTTAGGGTAAAAGTGAAGTGATTTGAACTATCAAAAGACCTTTGAAATAATTTATCAATGTATTAGATAAACCCAGTTTCAGAATGATTAAGAAAAACTGTTCCACCAAATAATGTGTCTGATTAACAGATTTCTAGCCCGAGGGCTGAAAATGGACTTAGAGTACCTGTCTTTAAACTGAACTCAAAGGATGCAAAAGCGGCAAGCTCAGGAATAAAACACAGAACAGAACTTTAAGTCCATTTTAAAC